CGCTGCGGTGAGGCTGCAGCTGCCCTCATGAAAACGCGGCTCGCGTGTGGCATGCGTGGCCGGCCTGTTTAACTTCGTTGGCTCCTGCCGCTGAGCCTGTCGCCATGCGTCCTGATATTGTATTATAATCGGAACCAGGCGGGTGAAAGGGAACAGAGAGTGTGGCAGATGCTGCGAAAGTCTGAATCACTATGCAAAAGTTTACGCGCAAATCAGTGGTTCTGCGCCTACTATGTGGGACACTACTATGTGGGACACTTTTGTAGTAGTCGCCGTCTATTCCCCGAATTCACCTGCACGAGAACTTGCTAGTGGTTCGCCTATCTCAGTGAAGTAATAAAAGCCATGAAAACTGCGTTAAGAAGGGAGCATTTTACACAACCCTAATTTCAAGATGCCTAGATGCTACAAATTGGTGACCCCGACGTGATTCAACAGTATGGTGAAGTGGAGTTGGACTTTGGTGAAGAGGTTGTCGGCCATATCAGAAGGTTGTGTGTTCGAATCACGTTGGGGTCAATAGCTTGTAGTTACAGAATTCAAACCCTCCGCTCAAGGCTGTGCATTGTCGACCAAATAGTTTGACAATACTCGGGAGACTTCATCTATTTGACAAATCGATGTTACTATCTGAGTACACAGTCTCTCTTCGACAAATCGAGGCTGAATGCAAATGCTTTTAGATAGAATGAGCGATAGAAAGAAATGTAAGGCCATTTGACCATCACCCGATTTCCCTCCTTCATCCTTAAAATGACGGTGTCTTCCACATATCATGGTTTATTACCTTCTAGTCAACTTAACCTTCTATTTTATCATTTAATTGTGTAATTGTTTTTCCCGTCTCTTTAGAACCTAGGTCTCTGGTCATAAGGCATCCCTTCATAAATATTTATTCAGCCGGCCGAAAGTTCTGCCAATCAGTTGGCTCCACTTCTATGATCGTATATGTTACCTTTTAGAACCTGTTTTTCAAATAACTTTGGTGCACGCTGTGGCGGCTGCCAACAACCAATCCTCGGCGACTACATCACCGTCACCGACAAACCCTGGCACGAAGAATGCTTCAGGTGCCATGTAAGTCCGCCTTAACCTATAAATTGCAGCAGTGACCGCGAGCATTAGGTCCGTGTAGACAAAATAACAAGAAAATGGAAGATTCGGGTTACTTTTAGGGGATTTTCGAAGTGTTTCTAAAAAGAGATTGAAATGTTCCTCAGCGAAAATTCTATAAACTTCAAAAACGATTCAGGTGTAGAACACAGGAATTTGATTTACCTTATTTCGATGGCATTACGCTAATTTCCAGGTAGATTGGGGTTCGGGTTAGCGTTAAGGTTACGATTGGGAATAGACTAAGGTTTAGGATCAGGACACGGGAATAGGATACCCTTCCCGGGCGCTAGAGCAACGCCACCTTTATTGCCGGTGGGCAAATTCTACAAATTAGATAATGAAAATGAGCAAGGCCTGAGTAGGTTTGTAAAAGATAAGTCATTTGTGGTTTTGTTCTGCGAAAATGTTTTTTTATGAATCCTTTCGGCAAGAATGCTTATAAAGGCCATAAAATCCCGTCGACTTATACTAAAAAGCAACTTTCAAACGTTCGGTAGCCTGACTTTAATTTTTTCGTTAAATTCAACCAATAGGAGGACGATATTTCAATTTTGGTTAAATTCCGCCCACATAAGGCCAAATTTCCCTCAATTAGCGTTCGTATTCTACGTAATTGAGGTTCATGTTGATTGAATTTAGCACATTAAAACAAACATAATCCTATTTAATCTAATACTTTTTGATCAATTCCGCCACTATTACATATTAATTTACGCTCACCGGCCAATAATTAAATGCTAAACCACAAAATACTTTGACCAGTTGGGTGGGGGTAATAGATATCTAGTGGGCCCTACAAATCACTTTTGCCGCCCCCTGACCAAGTTTCTTACGGAAATCGTGGTTAATGCTTTAATTCTTGATTAAGACGTGGGTAATGCGTGGAAAGTGCACTGTAGACAATAAATCAAACCCGCTTGTAATTGTTTTACTGAACTAGAAGTATATGTGAAAAGCATGAGGCAAGAATAAAATCGCACAAGTTAAAATTCTGTTGGTCAGCAAAGGATGCCTATAGACCAATAAAATATTAGAACAACTCCTATTGGGTAACATCATGAAGGGGGTGTTTGAGTAGGCAGAAATTCGACCTACTGAAAATTTGCAAGTAAGTGTTTATTATCAATACCAGCTCTCGGAACTCATTTATGGATCGCTCGTATTTCTTGGTTGATAATCTATTCTTTACAGTGGAGAGTCACCACGGACGCTTCTAATGCAAGAGTTGGCTGATCGGTTGCACTACGATGCGTCCGATTAAAATGGTATCTAAGAGTCTTGTCTTCTTTAACGTCCCTGAATGCTTGCGGACATGATTTACGAGAACCGTTAATTTTGGTTGTTGACTTTCCGATCTGGCCTTTATATAAGAAATTTTAGATTATTTAATAGAATGACAATCGTACTATACATACAGTGAGGTCGGAAATTTATGCACAAGAACTCTATTAAACCTGCGTCCAGAATGCGGACTACAGTTAGGCTGGAAGCAGCAATACGTATTCAAGTCCTGCTAACCATACATGCCATTTCTTTTGCCATTAGGAGTGTTCAGCAAACCTTGCTGGACGGGATTTCTGCACTAAAGATGGACTTCTCTACTGTGAGTCTCACCAGCAAGACGCCACCAGTCTCATCTGTGCATCCTGCTCCCAACCCATATCTGGGCGTTGTATCAACGCGATGGGCAAGCGCTTCCACCTGCAACACTTTGTCTGCACCTACTGCCTGCGTCAGCTAAACACGGGCACCTTTAAGGAGCGCGCCTCCAAACCCTACTGCAGCACCTGCTTCCGGCAGCTCTTCGGCTAGACTCTCGGCCGCCCCTCCTCCTTCTCCCTGCCGCCTTCCCTACTTGATCTTCCAAAAAAACACGTCTTCCGGTCCATCAGAATTTTTAATGATTCAGGGCTACGGCAACTCTAGCCTCGGTGGCTCTTTGAGCACATAAACATAGCAGAGGCACCCAGACGTACTCATAACAATTTTGAGCTGCTACTGGACTGCCTGTAAACCACCTGGTAGCTGTTCGACACGCACACCTCGCAACGGACTAGTAATCAATCTTAATGCATCGTTCCTACTCATTCTTTCTATGCCACGTATAATTTTAGTGCGACTTCTTCTTTCTTTTGCATCATCCTCCCCCCCCCGCCTCCTTTGCGCAAAGTTTGATTTGCGTTTTAATGTGTATTTGTATGCCTTTCTTTTGAACATATTTTTTCCACTGATCTTTTCGCATTTACAATTTACGAGAGCTTGCTGTACCATTTATATACTCAAAACATAAATCAAGGTTGTTCAACGATTTTCAGCTACTTGAATCATAAGATACGAAATTAGGCAATACTAAGCTCCACCATTCTGCCCTGCCAACACATGGCCGCACCTACTGGGTGCTCTCATGCGCGGCCGTGTGTATTTTTAAGAAATATTCGAAAAGCCTTTGAATGGTTTAAGCAAAAACTTTTGCATAAAACCATGGGCAAAACTGTCTTTTAGGTCTGTCTTGCGTAATTTGTGGTAAAGTATTTAGTTCTTGGTTAGCGAGTGTAAATGAATATTTAGTTATGTCAGAAGTGATCAAAAAGGTCAAATTTACTAAACTTATATTTGTTACAATGTGCTAAATAGAATGAAATCCATCAACATAAAGTCCTGTTGGTCAGGCAACTGATGCCTATTGAGGGAAATCCGACCTTACATTGGCGGAATTTAACGAAAAATTGGAAAGTCGGGTTACTGAAAATGCAAAAGTAGGTTATTGTTAGAAGCCAAAGGTAAAAAGGACCTCTAAAGACAGTCCTGCCGAGACATGCACTCTGTTTAAATAAATGGCAGTATGTCTAAAAAATCTTTGGAAGCCTCATATATAGGGTGGTGGTAATAGCTGCACATCAGCTGATTAAAATGCTTTGTTTAAGTGGCCAATTAGACGCCATTTTAATATTCTCTAAGACTAGGCTAGTCATTCCGAATTTATTCCATGTGCTTTATATCTTTATGCTGCAGGTGACAGGACTGACTGTAGAGGTCTGTTTTACTTTTGAGGGATAACGGTAACCTACTCTTACTTTTTCAGTGATCCGACTTTCCCTTTCTTTCGTTAAATTCCACCAACAGAAGGTCGATTTTCCCTTTTTGTTAAATTCCACCACTATAAGATTGCATTTCCTTGAATTTGGCGTCCGTATCCTGCACAACAGGAGTTTATATTGATTGAATTTTATTCTATTTAGTATATTGAAACAAATATAATTTTAGAAGAAAAATTGGCGAACATACGTTTGTTTTCGATAAATTCTCGTCGGGCCTTTACATTTATATGGTAATGAAATTTAATATTTTTGATCACTTCCACCATAATTAAATATTCATTTACACTCACTAATCAATGAGTAAACATTTTACCACAAACTACCTTAGGCTGTTGGGCGGGGGAATAGATAGCTAGGGGGCGCTACAAGTCAGTTTTGCCTAACTTGCCGGACAGATACGATGGGTTTGGACGGGTAAATAGTACACTAGAATCTCCATATAGACCAGTAATAATTCGTTGTGGACAAGCAGTAGAAATCAAAGGTATATCTTCGAACACGCCAACAGCGGGTCTAAGATGCCCTCTTACACAAAATATTTCACTGAGTTCACTTCAACTGCAAAGGCCGGTCCTCAAAATACAGATGACTTGAATTGTTCTGCGATATGTAGCCATTATAGCGAGCTCCGGTAAAATACGGCATAGTTGGCGTCGTAAATGCAGTTCGTCACAGTCTTTATCACACTATAGCTAAAGTAAGATAAATGATAGCCAATCGATTAAAGCAGTAGCAGTCAGCAGCTTGTATCGAATCTGATGGAGTTAGCAAACAGCTCCCTATTAATAGAAGGACCAACTACAGCCGAGTAGAAAATACGAAAAGGTGCCATAACTTACCGTTTCAGGAAAGCATCGGTGCCAGACCCGATAAAAATATTAGAGAAGAGGGAAGCGACCACACAAACAAACAGCCTCACTCTCAGCATGAGCTGAAGCAAACAACATCCTAAAAGTTCTCGTGGATTTGGGAAGTTAATTTCATAGCCCAAACTCACCACCAATCAGCTAGAGAAAAGTGATCAGTCCACTGAAAATATTTAACTATCCAACCTCCTCCAAAGAAGAAATGGAAATAATTGCGAATGGAAAGACTAGGGATACTAAAACTGCACCGCTGCAGCTGCGATTCTGTACAAAGAAGATAATAAGCCAAAATGAGCTGATACCTGAAGAAATATGATGACTTTGACATACTCGAACAGCAGGACTCACTGAGGTAGGAAAGTGGATTCCGTATCAATGGTTGATAAAAAACACAAATGACCACGTAGGCACAGTCATCACGTATAAGGAAAACCTGTCAGTCGATACAGAAGGTATGATTGTGCTATTACTGAAAGGGAAGGTTCCCAACGTTGCATTGGAAACTGTTAAGTTGCCATCGTTAAATAAATAATATGTGCCAATCCGAGAGCGGTGCATAGGAGGCGAATCCGGAAGCACAAAGGAACGTGTTTTACTAGACCCCGACTTTTTCCAAGGCCTTCTGAGCTCACTGCTCCAACCTAAAGAAGTTTCAGTATCTAAAACATTT